GAACATACCTCTAAACTTGTAAAGCTAAGAGATTAAAACATGCTTTAATTCTAGTCTAATTTAATACTATTAACTCTCTCTCGCCTTCAGTTCTACTTGATTATTTTTTTCTACTTGTGTGTAAGATATATTTAATTGGAACATAAAGTTGAACTCCCTGAGTCACTCCATTGTTTCAGTAAATGCTTTTTCTTTTTGACTGTGAATTCTTAAAAAGAGAATTAAAGAAATGATCGACTCATTGACGATTCATTCATCATTTAAGATGTAATTATTGAATATATTTTTGACAGAGACAGCGAGATTGAAAATATCAATGTAACCCTGGAAACAGAAAAGAAAAAATCTTATTGTAGAATGATGTTTTAGGTTTATCAGTAATTTAAAGAAATGTTATTTTATGTAGCCAAGCTTCAAAAGAAACATCCACCTTGCAACAAAGGAAATTGTGGCTAACTTAAAAGAAAGAAAACAGTTAAGCCAATATATTAATTTTGTTCCTTCCAGCCACTCAAATTGTATGAGTAGTTAAGAAGAGAAACTAAAAAAAAAAAAAATTACTACTTTTCTGCTTGTTTAATTATGCTCAAGTTTCCTTGCTTGATTACACTCACATTCAAAACAATTTTGTTCATTTTATGAAAAGTGAATTCTAATTTTCCTGCATTGTTTAGTTAAAATAGTCTACTATGTGAGCTTCTTATTAATTCCTTCTATGACAATGCTTTTCTTTAATAAACACTATAACTGTTCCATAGAGTTTTCGCTAACTTGTTTTATTATCACTATTTTCAATAGCAATTTCATTTAATTAGCTTTTTAAAAAAGTATCACTGTCCAAGGTTACAAGTGTGTAATTTGCCCTACTGGAAAAACAAAACCTATACTAGCATGAATCTTTTATAGAGGAAGATTATCATAGAAGCCTCTGGGTACCCATTCATGTCAAAGAGTTTTCAGATTACTGATAGAGCTTTGAATCTTATGTCTCTTTATTTTAATGACTACAGCAGTTATTTAATAAATTTTGGAAAGTTGAAAACAAAACCTCACAACAACAACAAAAAAATACCTAATTCAGGAAAATGCAGAGTTTATCATGTGCTCAATAGGCTTATCTTCTCCAGGTATTGGTTACCTAGAAACGGAATATTTTAGGATTCAAAAGAAAAATTAACATTTAAATAATGTATTACCTTAGGAAACTCTTCTTTGCATGATGTTAAAAATTTAACATTATTACACACAGGTACATAACATGTTTTCTCTTTATAAAAATCAACAGATTGTATAGGAATTTGAGGCAAAGCTCACATTAAAATCTCATTGAAACTTTCTATTCCCTTTCTTTCTTGTTGGCACTATTGTACCTTCATTTTCTTGCCAAATCTGTTGTTTCATTTACTACCTCAGCTTAAAAGGATGGGTCCCTAAAGTCTGCTATTCATCCCCCTTGCCTTTTTTTTTTTTTGTCCTCTTTCCTTTTTGTTAAGTTTCTTTCCCCTTTCTTGCAGAAGTTTAGCAAATTTCTTACAAAGATTGGCTTCAGCCGCATATTTCCATGGTGTGAGCTCCTAATTTAAGAGCAACTTCTGGGCCAGACTATCAGGACATCCCTCCATCCTCTCAGAATCAATCTATCCACAGCCAGTTCTTATTCATTTACATTATGGTGACAAAGATGTCAGTTACGCCATGGCTCGCATGCTGTCACTACAGAAATCAGCGCAAACAGCTGTGAAAGTGAATGCCAGTTACGGACGTGAGCATCATATTTACGAGGAGAAAAAAACGGAGTGTGGCTATCATACTAGAGGAATAAGGGAACACAGGCAGAGTTTAGCATATTAGGATGGTTCCCCAGGTATAAAGTGATTAAGGCCTGCAATAAAAAGATAATTTTGGCTCTAGTAATAAGTGAATAAATTAAGTGAGGAAGAACATCAGCAAAATGTCAGAGAATTATCTTTGATGTCAGATCATTTTCTTTGAGCTGAACTGAGTTACCCCCAAAATTCACATGCTGAAACCCTCATATCTAGTATCTCCAAATGCAACTATAATTGGAGATAGAGCCTTTTAAGAAATGATTATTTTAAAATGAGGCCCTTAGGGTGGGTCCTAATCCAATTTGACTTGTAATAAGAACTGAAAATTTGATACAAAGAGATACCAGGGATGAACAATCCCAGAAGATAAGCCATGTGAGGATGCAATAAAATGACCATTTACAAATAGAGAGAAAGGCCTAAGAAGAAACCAGGCCAGCCATCACTCTGAGCTGTTGCTTCAATGTCACATTTTTTGCTACTTTATTAAGGCAACCCTAGCAGACTAGTAATACCCATAGAAAAATCAAAGGAGATGAACAGTACAACACATTGAGTCCATTACATAGGACCCTGTAGTTTAAATCACAGAAAGGGCGTAATGGGAATTAAAGCAGAACACTGCAGTCTATTTTTAATAATTTCTGTTGTTTATATTAAATTAGTCCTTCAAATAGTATCACGAATAATAATGAAACTCTATGTATAAAAAATAAATAGCACACTTCATTGTTTCCTTCTTAAATGTCCCTCTCTATAGTTTCTTATTCTCTCATGCCCCATATTCTTAAGAGTGTTTTTCTAAGTTTTAACATAATACATGATAATTTTACATAGTTATGAGCTACAGTGTGATGATTTGATACTTATATATAATTTATAATGATCAAATCAAGATGCTTAGGAATTCCATCTCCTGAAACATTTATAATTCTCTTGTACTGGGAACATTTAAACTCTCCTAGTTCCTCATGAAACATAATAAATTGTTGTAAACTCTAGTCATCCCATGCTGCAAAGCACTAGAACTTATTCCTCCTGTCTACCCCTGTACTCTTATCTGATCCTCTTCTAGGCCAAGTTTCTTGAATAATTTGTTCATAAAATTAAATCCACAATCCTACTCCCTCCTCAGCACCCTCAAACCAGTTTCTGATTACATAACAGTCCTAGCAGGACCCATCTGTATCTTCAGTGCTCAGGGCACTAAGATTCAATAATGGGACCAGTTCTGAGGATGGAGGATGATGTTCAATTCAACTGGTTTCTTTTCCCTACCTTCACCATATGTCATGGTTGATTTAAATGGTCAACTTGATTGGATAAAGAGATGCTGAAGAGGCTTCTGGGTGTGTCAGTGAGAGTGTGTCTAGGAATGATTGGCATGTGGGAGAGTGAATTGAAGTGAAGACCCTCCCTAAGTGGGGGAAGCACCATCCAATAACCTTGGAGGCTTGGATGAAAATGAAAGTTGAAAGAACAGGGAAGCTGCAGCAGATGCAAGCTAGATGCTTCTTGAATGGGGTCCGGATTGTTGCTGCAATCGCCTGAGGATGTCAGACTCTCACTCCTTCACTCTTCCAAAGTGGACTCTGCCAGTGATTCTCCAGGGAATCTCCAGAAGCCTTCAGTCTTGGACTAGGATAGCAACATTGATCCCTCTGGTTCTGAGGCTTCAGCATCTTGGACTGTGCTGCTACTGTTTCCTCCAGCTCTCCAGCCTACAGATGGCCATTGCGGACTACCAGCTTCTGGTTGTGTGAGCCAATCTAATAAATTCCCTTTTTATTATCATACTTCCTGTTGATTCTGTTCCTCTAGAGAACCATGACTAATACACCATTTTAACAAATTTCATCTAACAGAGATAAACACCACCTAATTGTTAATGCCAGTAGGCCTCATTTAATCTATTTCTCATTTAATTTAAGGTACATGGGCAATTCATTACTATTCCTCCATTTGCTGTTCTTTTCAACCCCTTAGAGAATAATATGTCTTCTTTTCTTGGTTCTTCTACCCCTCTGACTTACCCGATTATGCCCCCTTTCTGAATTTTCTTCCACCTGTATTTTACACACATTGATCTTATCATACAGTCTGATCCTCAAACCAGTGTTTTTCTTAATCTAACTATCCCCTTGGATTTTCCCACATATTCTTGTAGTTTTAAGATAAACATATGCCGCTTGCCCCCTTTTCCTTCCTGATCTATGCCAATATACAGTTCTACCATCTTCCCAGAAAAGCAGGCTTATAATACAAATCTCTGCTGGACAACTCCTCCTGAATGTGCCTGTTGCATTTGGGGCACATAGGCATGTATCTTTTAATACATGTATCTTAAATGAAGCCACTACCATCTGCAAAATTATTCAGCTTAATACCTTGCAGTCAGCCCATGTACAACCACTGAGTCATAAAACCTGAAAAATTCATCTAATATTCTTAAATGTGGTATTGTTTGCTTTTGCTCAATTGCTACTCTTGAAAGTCTTGGAGATCTATTGCCCAGACTAATGCAACAACCCCTTAACTGGTTTCTCTAATTCTTATCTTGGTCTTTTACATTCATCTTCTGTACTGTTATGAGTAAGATAATGAAAATATCATTATGACCACGACATACCTCTGTTGAAAGCTTCTGGACATTCTTACCCCAAAAGATACAAGCACATACAAACATAACACAATGCATGCACTTCCTATTATAATGGCTTAAAAGATCATACTAAAGAAGGACCTTAAATATTTCTTCAGCCTGAGTTAACACTAAATGTGTGGAAGTTCTCCTGATCTTTTGAGGCTGTTTCATTTCTCTGACTTTGGGCACTCTGCTTTCTCTGTCATGAAGTCCTTCTCCATCTGAGACTAAAAGCTTTCCTATAAGGGCTTTTGATTTTCTTTTTCCAGATTTCTTCAGAGACACATTCTTGATGGATCAGGTGACATTCATATGTGCCATAGAATAGTCTTACCAAATTCAGTATATTGGAATAACATGCTAGTTTTTAGATAAGGGGTATTTTATTTCAAATTCTCTATACCGACCATGGAGTATTTGTACATGGCAATCTGAATTCATTCTGTATCAGTTATCAGAAATTATGTATTCATTGTATTATGAAGGCATATATTTTCTATTTCTATATTTTAAAATGAATTACTTACCATGTTTATGGGGTCAACTGGTCCAATGCTGTTTACATAAACATCAGTTTCTATTACTGTGGGCCTCACTGCAAAACATCAATAAAGAGAATATTATCAGAAATTATCTTAAAGAAATCATAGTTTTAAATCAATCTTAATAACTCATGTTTTTATTATTTCAATCATAAAATATTCCTCATGATGAAATGTAGACACATTCTCTATTTCAAAAACATAAATTTTTTCAGTTGAAAAATTAATGATTTATCTAAAAAAGTATGTTTTAACTAAAAATTTCCCCTATGAAAATATTTAAATATAAAATATCTAAACCAATAACCTAAGATAAAGTTTCTAGTGTAAAACATAATTATATATTTAGAGCTACCTAAGATAAGAAAGCTAATTCACTAAAATATTTGCTAGATAATTAACTTGGAGAATTTTGAATTAGGAGGTATGCTAGAACCTAAATAGTATATAACTCTCCTTATTGTCTACCTATAATGTTCTGCTAAATGTTTAACAAACTTGCTCACAGAGAGGTGAAAAAAAGCACTAATTTGTAGTTTTTGCTGATTTCAAAGTTGCAAATACTCCATCAATGCCTGATTAAAGATATCAATATGAAATCATGGAATTCAGAGCTAGAATAATATATGGTTACATGTCTATTGTGAACCAGCAAGAACCAGTTCTAGCACACACTGGAATTTGTAATATAGCTATTAGAATTAAAGGACATAATGTCTGTAAAGAAATCACCTCCAGGTCTAACTCATATGATCTTAATAAATATTTATGCATACTCCCTTCCTCCCTCCCTTATTAGCAACATTCTTTTAGATTGGTGATAGCAAATTCCAAGGTTCCAATGTAAGGCACCTATTTACTTAATTCTCAGTTATTGTACAGGCATTCCTATTGACCTTATCTATTGTGCATTGTATGTAACCATTAGTATTTTTCCACTTAGTCTTTAAAAGGTACACTCAATACGTTTATATTATATCAAAATGTGTGCAACTCTTCAGCTTTGTGAACACTTACCAAATGATGTAATTAACAAATATCCATAGCAGTGCCTTATTTGATGGTGCTCTAGACTTCTTGATCCCTTTTGGGATTTCCTTCAATGAGATTTTTGGGTTCTATTTTGGTTTACATGTGAGGTGTCCTCCAAAGATTCATGCATGAGACAATGCAAGAAAGTTCAGAGATGAAATGATTGAGTTATGAAACTCTAAACCTAATCAGTGCATTAATCCTTTGAAATGGATTAACTGAGTAGTAATAATAGGTAGAATGTGGTTGGAAGAGGTAAGTCACTGGGGGCCTGCATTTAGGGTATAAGTCTTGTCTCTGGTGAGCAGAGTGCTCTCTCTCTCTCTCTCTCTCTCTCTCTCTCTCTCTCTCTCTCTCTCTCTCTCTCCTTCTCTCTCTCTCTCTCTCCTTTCTTGTTGCCACATCTAGAACTATCTTCCTCTGCCATGCCCTTTGGTCTTGATGTTCTGCCCCACCTTGAGCACAGAGCAATGCAGTTAACCATCTACCGACTGAGACCTCTGAAACCATGAGCCCCAAATAAACATTTCTTCCTTTACATTGCTCTTTTTAGGTCTTTTATTCACAGTACTGAAAAAGCTGACTAAAACAGATTGCTTTAATGAAATTTATCTGAGTAATGGTGACTTACACCCATATATTTTTCTGTTTGCTATGAAAAACATTTTCACATAATTTCTATAACTCCCTTGAGGATCACCACCCAATAAGATATCAAGGATTCATTTTCTAATTCAGAAAATGCTTGTTAAGGAAGGATATAAAGCATTTACAAGGTGAACCATAAGAAGACAAGCATTTCAAGAAGATAATCTGTCACATATTTCACAAAGAATTTTATAAAGAAAAAGGTAAATGAGATAAAGAAAAAAAAATACCTCGCAGGTTCAAATTTTCTGGTATTACAGCAGAGTTTTAATTACATTTGTTCAATTCCCCTTGCTGAATTGTCTGTATTCCCTTTTTGGTCTAGTATTTATCACTCATAATTCAGAGGTTGCGAATGACCTGGCAGGATATATCTCCACCTTTAATACATGGCCCAATCTGCCTGTCTGAATGTTTCTGCAGCCATATTCTCTCTATTGGTTATTTTCTAATCTGGCACAGTTTCTAAGCTACCAAAGCTCCATGGTAAAGAGACATTTTGCAAAATAGTACTTACATGGCTTTAAAACAATATTTATTTTTACCCCTTGCAATAAAAAAAAAACCACTTCTTTTAGGAAAACATACATTACATAATGACTTTTTTTCCCTCAGACAAAAAAAACTTACATGTTATACATATTTTATTAACTAGAAATGTGTTTTTAAAAATCTTTTTAAAAACAGTTTCAGTATGTGAAACTAAGCTTTCATACATTCACACTAAATGAAAAGGTAACTCACCCTGCTAGTCAACCCTTAGATGATGTAAATAAAAGGATTTTATAATTTAACTTAGGTTGATGATATTTTCTGAGATGAGTTGTTTTAATTGTTTGCCACTTTTTCTCTGACAAGTTATACATTGTGGCCAATTAATATCTGTAATTAAGCTAATTTCAGCTACTGGTTTTTCCAAAGCCAATTAAAAATACTAAAATAGGTATTTTAATTTCGCTTACATAAAGCAATTTTTTTTCCAAGTATACTGATGAATCAACAATATTAAGTTCCTGATTTTATTGCTCAATACTCAGGGCTGAATACTGTTTACATTGAGAAATAAATGATTCTTGAGGAAATTTTTAGTTAAAGAACATATTTGTCATATTTATAGTGCAGAAAGTTTGGTAGGAGAGTTACTCTACTTTCTGGATATCAAAATCTCCCAGCCAACTATAGGATGAAGCTACATATATCAGAAAATCCTTAATTCTGGCCTTAATATATGAGCTACTTAGCAATGGGGATATAATCAACATGAAGAAACTGCACCTGGGCTGGGACAGTAAGTTCAAGGTCGAACACTGCTATCAATAAAGAAGATACTCAATTAGCAATCATTAAATAAATATATGTTTGCAAAGTATGAATTATGTTGTTATTTTGTAACCTATTTTATAATTTTATGCTGCTGGCCTTTGATCTATATTTTAATCTGCATGCCCAAAAGTTGAGGAAGAATAAAGTTGAAAGTAAAACAAAATATCCCAGATTAATTTTGAAACTATTGCTGGTGATTTTATGCGACAAAATATATAATTAAGAGAAAACCAAAAGAAATTTGTAACTGCTCCTTAATAATGAGTCCTTTTCACTTTGATTAACTAAGGGTATGAATAATACTGTGGGTAAAACTGAAATTAAAGCTTCTTTAAAGGTGAGAAGATACCTTTTCTCAGTGCTATGATTTTTTTTTAGTATAAAGTTTGTTCAACTGCAGGATCTTCATGATGTTCAAAAAGGAAAAACACAATATTTAATTCAAAACTTGAAAAACGCAACTGAAAAGGAATTGTCATTTTAGGACTATTAAATGATGTCTTGAAAGTAGACACAGACTATGTTTAATTCATCAATACACAATAAGATCAAAGATCTTTCTTTGCAGTAGTGTAACAATGAGTCAGAAACCCATGTACTGCTACAGCAAATTACATTTTTTTAATATATAGAAGGCAGATAGAGATGACATTATCATTTTTGCAAAACCTTTTTCTGTGCTGTGATTTAAGTCCTTTGCTTTAAGAACACCAGCAGAATGTAAGTAGATAAACTCCCAGAGGGAGTGAGTAGATAGAAAGAATAGAGTCACAGTAACTTGAGCATCCACACAATAGGAAGAGAAAGAAAAACTTTAATATATTAAAGAAGAAAACAGTGAGACCAATAAAATTTCCATATTTGGTTAGTCCGTAACTAAGGCACAACTGAGGACAACCAATCCTTCATGCGGATAATTGGTTTATCAATAAGAAAATATAAACCAAAATACAATATTTTATTTTTTTTCCTCAATCAATTTAAGCATGTTTTCTTAGTCACCCTACTACGACCTTTTTAAGAAATTTCCAGCCAGTTATATAGCTTTTTGGTAATGTTTACTTATTAAAATAAGTAAGATCAATTAAAATTTCTAATCATAAGGAACACTTTTACAGTTTTTATTTCTTATCAACCAAGAATAGTCATTAAAAATAAGTAAATAAATAGCTCCACTAATCTAGATATTATAGATATTATAGTTACTCCTTCAATGTATGTTATTTCATTTAACTGATATATTGACAGAGATTAATTAATATCTTTCAGTTCTTAAAACGTCTCAGTCTGATTTAGTTATCAGAATTATATTGAGTGAATTATACTGGCTTAGTAAAATTAGTTGGGAATCTCTATTTTTCCATTTACTAAAAGTTATTTTATTAAGATTTATATTACTTCTTTCTTACATATCTGATAAAATTCACTACTGGAGAGAAAAAAAAATGACTATTTCTGACCTGGATCCTTAGCCTTGAAATACATTATTGGGACAAGTGAAAATTGAACATGAGTATTCAATGGTAGTAAATATATCAATATCATCTTTCTGGTTTTGATGGTTGTACCACACTTATATGAGGTTAAAATAAACAAATTTAAAATAGAAATCAATAACAATAAAATCTATCTTGAAAATTCCCCCAAATATTTATAAATCAAGCAATATTTTAAAATAATCCATGAAACAGAAAGAAATTTAAGGAATTTTTTTTCACAAAATATGAAAGAATGAAAGCCAATTTATGAATTAGTGAAATTGACCAAAAAATTCAAAAACATTAAAATAAATCTTTATTTGCTTAAAGAAAAACCTGTGTTTATTAAGGAGATTGAATTTATAATCAAACATCTTCCAACAAAGAAAATCCAGACCAACATCACAGTTTACAATCATCTCACTGGAATGAGAGAAAAACTGGATAAGAGCTGGAAGGAAACAATAAGGAATTTAGTTCAACATTCAACATGCAACTTCCCCTGAGGATATTTGCTAATTCCTGCAGTATTCATGTGTATGATGTGATGCTGACAAACCAAATATAAACGG